TTTTCCCTTCATCTTTCATCAATCCTAACATGTAGTCATTGATAGCATCGACTTCTTCATTTGTAGGGACCAAAATAGCTTTATCTTGAAAATATGACGGATCATCAAGATGCTTTTCAAAAGATGGATAAATGGTCGATACAATTGAATGAATATGGTCACCTGTAGAGCGAACGATAACGTCTTCTGGAAATTCAACTTCAACTTCACTATCATTAAGACCACCAATATTACCTTCACCAATTTTAAGAATCCATTCAACAAAGGCTTTTGTCTCATCCAAATTATTAGTTAGACAACCAACTTGAAGCCTCATGTTACTGTTAAATGTAAAAATGTACATTTCACGCCATCATCTGATGGTGTTTTTAGAGCACTGGATGAATAGGATGCATGCACTAAAGAACAATTGTATATATCTAACACTTAATACAAAATTTAAGAAAAAAATAGTTATACAAATTGAACATTATAGACATTTAAGCATTGAAAATTTAAATATAATACTTATATATGAATTTTGCCATTTGTGATGTCAAATAGTGGTGTGGTTGGGAAGAGATGATGGGTAAAATATTACTAACAGAACTTTTAGGCTTTTTCTTTCTCGAAGCATATGAAATGTCACTCATTTCAATATGTTTGATTTGGTTTGTGCTCTTGGTTATATATATATAATATAATATATATATATATATATATATATATAGATATAATATATAGTATATATATAGATATATAATATATAGATATAAGATATATATATATATATATTATATATACTGATATTGCTGATTTCTAAAGCTTTAAATAAGGGAATTGAATATTAGAAGGGTTTAAATTATGTAAAAAATAAATTTTGCATACAATTATGGAAGGAATAAATACATTATACAAAAATACATTTGGAATACATGCATGCACTAAAGAGGAATAATATATATCAAAAAAATAAATACGATATTAAAGGAAAAAGCAACTTATACAAATTAAACATTATAGACATATATGTATTAAAAAAATTAATGATAACAGTTAATATATTAGGAAATTAAAATTGATGTTATATGATTTAAGATGTGGAGGTAAATATAATATAAAAGAAATTAAGAAGAATTTACCTTGACTGATTATTTGTGAAAGTGGCGACATTGACGAAATAAATGTGGATTGCACATTCAGGTGTATGATGTTATTTTGTTACCATATGCAAACGATGTATATTTATGCAAATAAAATTTAAATTTTATTTTGACGAATAAAAGAAGGTGAAATAGCATATGTAATAAAAATAAAGTGCTCTCGGAAATGAAATTTGTAAACTTATAAATTTTGAAGACATGTGATAAGATACGCGAAAAACACGTTGACACCATATATGTATCGATTTGTATGTGACAACGTGATACAAGTACCATGTTGCAATGACCAACAATTTATGTCCTATATAATAAAAGTAAAACAATGTAATTTAGTAATCTAAATGACTTAACCGATAATACATTAAACATGTATAGATTTTAAGTAAGCTTGTAGGCATACGACATATGCTATGTACAATAATAATGTACGGAAAATAAATGCTACAAAATCATATCATGAATGAAAGTAAAATAACCATAATATTCATTTACACAAAATAATTCAATAATATGAAATTGTCATAAATAACACAAATAACATCGTTCAAACCAAATAACATCCGAACCAAATTTCAAAACATGTAAAAGAATTGACCAAAAAATCCATAAACCGACAATTAAAAGTGCAACACACAAATGATTAAAAGGAAAAGATAAAATTGCAAAAATGGTCACTGTGGTTTTTTAATTTCTTTGGGTAAGGTCCAAAAAAAGTTTATTAGAAAAAAAGGTCCTTATTTGGTGGTTTTGTTGTGGTTTTAGTCCCTACCTCGTTAAGTTTAACAGTATGACTGTTAACTTTTGGCAAATGACGGATTTATCCCCAGTGACCATTTCTACAGTTTTATCTTTTTACCAAACTACAAAGACCAATTATGCATAATTCTTTTTCATTTTATTAAATTCTTTTTTAACTTCTTTCTTATTGTATTATTTTTTATTAGATTATTATATACTAATAAATATTATTTCTAATATATTATATTTATATATTAATAAATATTACTTTATTTGATTATTAATTTTTTAATTAATTTTTGTTGAATATCTTCTTTATTGGATTAATTCTTTTTTATTGAATTATTATATATTAATGAATATTATTTTTAACATATAATATTTATCTATTAGTAAGTGTTACTTTATTGGATTATTAATTTCATTTAATTAATTTTTATTTTAAAAATTTTTATTGCGTTAATTTTAGTTTTTGTGTTAATTCTTTTTTGGACAACACCACCACTATCACTCAGTCACCACCACCACCATCACTCAGTCATCGTGTTTATTTTAGTTTTTGTGTATTCCCATATATTTAAATTTGTTATATATTTCAATAAACTAATGATTTTCACATATATATTTCCCTAATATTTTCTACATTGAATTATCAAATCCGAGTACTCGCTACTCGGCAGTCGGCCGAACGAGTACCGAATAATGAGTTCTACAACATTGCCACCACCTGTAGTGGCTATGGTGGTTTGAAAACCCTCGATCTAACATTGCCGCCATTTATAGTGGTATAGATAATGAATGGTCGGCTAGAGGTTATATGTTTTCTGGGGTTTATTATGCATTGTGTGGGTAGTCGACCGGTGTAGTTTTCATCAAGAATTGTTGACTGTAGGCGATGATCGGCGATTTCCAACGAGAAGATACGACGACGCAAGGTGGTAGAAGGCAACGAATGGAGGAGCGGACCAGGTGTGTTAGGATCGGACCTCCTAGTGGTTGTAGCAGAATATGGTCGACTTAGTGGCAGATATAGAGGATTCTGACAGATTGTGATGAGGTTGTCTTAGGTGGCTATTGGCGACATTGGGTGTAACAAGTTGGTGGGCTTTCATCCGAACAATCGATGAAGGTGATAGACGGTTGTCCCACCGATTTTCGACGATGAGACACACACTTTTGCGTATTCCGACGACTTTGTGGTGGAACCAATAAAATTAAAAAGAAATAATATTATACGTTATAAATTATTAATCCAATGAAATGATATTTATTATATATAAAAATAATAAATTAAAAATAATAATCCAATAAAAAGAATTAACGTAATAAAAAAATTAAAAAAATTTAATAATACAATAAAGTAATATTTATTAATAGAAAAATATTATATGATAAAAAAATATTTATTAATATATAATAATCCAATAAAAAGAATTAATCCAATAAAAAAGAAATTAAAAAAAAATTAAAAAATTATATATAAATAAATAATATTTGTTAAGATATAAATATAATATAATAAAATTAATATATATATATATATATATATATATATATAATCCAATGAAAAAGAATTATCCAATAAAGAAGAAATTAAAAAAGAATTAATTAAAAAACATAATAATATAATAAAATAGTATTTATTAATATATAAATATAATATATTAAAAATAATATTTATTAATATCTAATAATCCAATAAGAGAGAAATTACAAAAGAATTAATTAAAAGAATTAATGTACAATAATTCAATAAAATGAAAAAAGAAAAATTACTGAAATGGTCCTTGTAGTTTGGTAGAAGAATAGAACTGCAGAAATGGTCCCTAGGGGGTAAATTCGTCATTTTCAAAAACTTAACAGCCAAACTATTAAACTTAACTATGTAGGGACCAAAACCACGATAAAACCACCAAATAGGAACATTTTTTGCTAATAATGTTTTGTTTGTATCTTACCCAAAGAAATTGACAAACCATAGGGAACGTTTTTGCAATTTTGTCAAATGTTGATGGGCGGCTTCATATTACTCCAAGTTTTTCATTTTTGGGATCTTCAAGGTAGCAGAAACAACACCGCCTTTTGAAGAAAACCACTCCAAAGAGTCAGTGGTGGCAACAATCTCAATAGGGCGCTTCCCCGCACTGGATGATGGTGTTAAAGCTTCAAGATCAACAACCTGAAGATTGTCATCATGGACCGAAATAGTATTTTCCTGTACAGAACACATAAAAGGATAAAAGTCGGATCATAATAATTTATAAAAAACATAACATACTTGCATAAATACATGAAAATCAGGAATTAAATTGCAATATATTTTTGACTTTTACATTTTTGTGATATTAAGCCATTGTTGTGATATTAATCCATCATGTTTCTGTTCTTGGAGTAATTGAGGTGTATGAGGTGTATTAGAACAAATGGAATGAATAAAATGAAAGATCAACTCGGAAAAAATGTGAGTAAATTGAACACATGTGAAAAGAAAATAAAAAGGTGCTACTAAACCTGAAGTGACAAAAGATCTATGATTCTAGGTTTGCTGAAACAAACAAAAATACAAATAAAAGTTAGTTTTTTTCATAGATCTTATTTCAAGATCTACTGAAATGAAATAAATACAAAAAAGATTAGTTTCCAGATCTGCTTAAATGAGCTTCAGTTCCCAAGCCAAGAGGTACTCCATAATCTAAGAACTACTAAAATAAATTTGAATCAACAAAATAAAAGAAAAATAGTTTGGAGAATCCGCTGCAAAAAAAAAAAAAAAAAAAAAAAAAAAAAAAAAAACACTACTTCCAACAGTTATTAAAAAATTAAATTTTACACAACAAAACAAATGATAGAGGGGCCAAAGACAATGCAAAATCCTCAAATAAGGATCAGAATTGCAATTCAAATATTTTTGGACCAAACCCAAAAAAATTGGTTAAACTCAGGGACAAAAATATGAAATTATTCTTGATTACCATTTTTTTTGCTCACTTTTACCTGTAATCAGTTGATTTTTTACTCCAAACAACCACAAACTGCTTTCACCACATGATAATTTACGTGATCTTTGAGGAAAATGAAGGATAGTTGTGAAATTAAAGATGCCAATACTTTGTATTTGATCCTTAAACCATTCAACAACTTGTTCTTTTGATAAATCAACGGTTTTGGGTGTGTTCCAATAGCCACGTATGCATATTACATCTTTGATAAATATAAGCTATATCAGTAAACACATTTTAGCATATTCAAGTATTGGAATAAAAGTTAAAGTGTTAGGAATAAATAAATTTCATCAAAAAAATTCAAACATAGTCAAAAGTTCATAAAAGTGAATGAAATGTCCATTTGTTCATGTATGTCAATAAAATTTCACTCAAACATTCAATCAAACACCTTGTATGCATTTTAACAATCATCAACTCCTGTATCCTTCTTATCATTTTCTTATTACAAGGTACAAAACATTTAATCAAATGAAATTTCAATGGCTATTTGAAGCAATTTCATATGATGAGATGTAATTCAATCATTCGTGCAAGCTGTAACACAATGAATAGACAATTGCATGTTTCTTTTTATGAATAATGAAAGTAGAATTTACGAAGGAAATTAAAGATTAAGCACTTGTCAACATCGAAGATTATAAAGTTTCGAATATTGAACACCCACCAACATGTATCTGGGATAAAGTCGACTAAATAGGAAAGACACATAGACACATAATACTGATTTTATAGTTCACAACCGAAAAAGAAGATATGTAAAAAAAAAAACCTCAACGGCTGTGCTATCTATTGAGGCGTAAATGATGAACCGATGAAGAAGAATAGTAAAAGAATCCCAAGATTATGGTTAAAACCCTTCCAAAGAATCAATCGTTGTAGATGGTGACGAAATTTGTCAAATAATGATAAAGATGTATTTGTAATTCTATACATAAAAAGAGATTGAGAAATTGAATATTAGAAGAGTTTAAATTACGTAAAAATAAATTTTGAATACAATTATGGAGGAAATAAATGTGGTATATAAAAGTAGATCTAGAATAAACTATTTCCTTGTCGCACTCAATTAGAAAATGGAAATGATTAAAACTATTAGAAAACGGAAAAGATTGTTGAGAGCATAAAAAGACACAGTAACCGGATGTAGAGCGTCTCGTGACAGGGCAGCCTGCCCAGTTAGCATCAGCGTTTTTCGTAAGAGTGCGACCTGGGGATGAATAAAGCTGGAGACCATAAGCAGTAGTGCCTTGAATATTGCACAAGATGCGTTTGAGAGCAGTAAATTGAGGTTCCTGAGGATCGTGCATGTATAAACAATTCTGTTGAACAGCATAAGCAATATCAGGACGAATGAAGGTGAGATACTGTAAAGCCCCAACAAGACTACGATATAAAGTGGGATCATCAACGGGAGGACCAGAGCCATCACGCTTAGCAGATAAGTCAGCAGGAGTGGTTTCAGGTTTACAATTAGTCATACAAGCACGATCAAGAATCTCAATGGCATATTTATGTTGAGACAAGAACAGTCCATCAACAGTTCTGGAAGTTGAAACACCCAAAAAATAGTTAATATCCCCAAGGTCTGTCATAGAGAACTCAACACTCAGTAGAGAAATAATCTGAGTCAATAAGTGAGGAGAAGAGTCTGTAAGAATGATATCATCAGCATATAGTAAAAGGTAAGCTATATGTGTGTCATGCCTGTAAATAAATAGAGAGGTGTCGCATTTGCTATGAACAAAACCAATGTATGTAATAAACATGGCAAATCGCTGAACCAGACACGGGGTGCTTGTTTGAGACCATAAAGGGATATCTGAAGCAAGCACACATGATTTGGTCCGTTGGGGTCCCTGAAACCTGGTGGCTAATGCATATAAACTGTCTCTTGCAAATGTGCATGAAGAAAAGCATTTTTCACATCAAGTTGTCTAATAGGCCACGTATGAGTGACCACAATACTCAGAACTATGCGAATAGTTGTCGGCTTAACAACCGTACTAAAAGTCTCATCACAATCAATGTCGGGACGCTGACCATGTCCATTAGCCACTAGACTCGCTTTATATCGAGATAACAACCCATCTGCATTGAGTTTCTTTTTTAAACAGCCAGATACAGTTAATAACATTAGGAGCTGGAGGTCTTGGAACTAAAACCCAAGTCTTATTAGAGATAGGAGCAGTATACTCTTCAGTCATTGCATTGAGCCAGTTGGGATCTTTAAAATCTTGAAGGTAATTTTTAGGGACAGGGGAATATGTATCCATATGAAGATTTAATATGTGCACAGGTTTAAAAATGCCTCGCTTTGCACGAGTGAGCATCGGATGGGATGGTTCAGCGTTAGGAGAAGAGACCGATGGTGGACTTTGAGCAACGGATAATGGGCTGTCGGTCGACATTGGGGTCGACAAAGATGGGTGCGAAGTAGATGGGCTCGCAATAGGCGTCTGTAGAGAGGGCGAATGAGGTGGGCTGAACATATCCGAGTTTGGACCACTTGGATTAACAGGTGGGCCAATGGAAGTGGTAGGTAACGATGAGGCTGTTAAAGGAGGGGAACTTGAGCCAGACAAGGAATCAGAATTGGGAGGTGATGAGAGGGTAGAGTCAGGTTGTAACGCTCGCAAATTCGGGCTAGTCAATTTAGAGAAAATATGCGTCAAAATGACTTTTGATAGAAGATATTTAGAATATACTCTTAACTAAGTATAGTATATTTCACAAGGGTTCCGTACATATAAAGAACCACGATATCCGAGTTATAACGAAGAAGTTATGACCTATTGAAGTTTCACGACAAAACCGGCACGACGCTGTGTGACGTAAAAAGTGAGTTTGTGATAAAATACTTTTTAGCCTTATAGATTTAAACAAAAGTCGTAGCATACGTTAAACCGAGAGCGTGCATAAAAAGAACGTCCAAATCTGACTTCGTATGAGGAATTTATGATTTTTCTAAGATTTCGCATAGCAGTACACAACTCGGAATTCGAATTTTAGATCGACCAATTTTTAGCCGACACAATCTAAATGAGAATCGAAGATCTCGTTAATAGGAGCTCAACGATAAAAAAGACAGACGAAAACGGATGTCAGGTGACAAAGTTATGAATTTTTAACGGACTCTATCCAGGTTCGTTAAAATATAACTTTAAAAATAAAGTCAAAATTAGCCGATGGAGTCTAAACAAAAGTTGTAGAGTACGTTGCCACCTACGCGTGGATATAAAGAACGTCAAAAGCGGAGCTCGTATGCGAAATTTACGAAATTTAGAAGTCGGGAGGGTGTTGTTACGAAGAGGGTCACGTGGCAAAATCTGGACCCTTACTTGCACACCACGACCTCGCATTCGGATCTTAACACATGCCTCTCATATGCGTAACGTACCGAGAACGCGCAGCGTCCCTCCGAGGAACGCCGTGCGTACCGAGGATCAACCCCTTATAAATACCATGCGAGGGCACCTCATTTTCCTCACTCCTTAACCCTTCTCTCTCTCTCTCTAACTTCTCTCTAAACCTATCCCAAGACTTAGTACTTCCCAAGTGCTAAGAGGCGAGTCCCGGAGCGCCAGAAGGATCCGAGAAGAAGAGCTTTCGGCTCGGAAGTTCTTCCCCGGCAGAGCCCGGTTCCTAGCCAAACCCCCTAGTAAGTGAGTTATGCCTACCCTACTTTAAGTATAGCTTATGTTTAAGTTTATTATCGTTATTATGAACTTATAAACAATATATATTATATAATATAGCATACAAAGTTTTATTATAATATCTTTTAACTACTCGTGGTACGAGGAATCTGGTTTGAAGGGCCACATAGGGTTGTTGGATTTTAGAAGTGCTATAATGCCAAAACAGTCTTGCCTCCGGTGTTTCATGTATGGCCCCTGTCTGTACATAGTGGTTGAAAAGTATTGTTTAACACTTATAATACAATATCGCTCGTAAATAGCCGCTATAAATATTATACTAAAATCTAGCGGTAATGATACTAGGTTTCGGCGAAGGAAAATAGAAATTTTAGAAGCGAAGCGTTGCCCGAGTTTGGAATCATCACTTTAACAAGTGAGTGCATAGTTACTTTCATATTACACATAGATACGAATTATTTAAAATAAATTACGTGCTATGTGTGCATATTATCTTTGTTTTTGACATCTATGCTGGATGAACAAAATATACATGTTTTATTTGATTTAAACTGTATATGTATTTTATACATATAAAAAATATTGGGTAAAGATGGGTAGATTAATGATGAGAGATGAAAGATGATATAGATAAACATTGGCAGCTATGGACTTGGTGTCTGATAGATAAACCCTGGCAGCTATGGACTTAGTGCCAAATAGATAAACCCCGACAGCTATAGACTTAGTGTCTTACAAATGAACATTGGCAGCTATGGACTTAGTGTCTTACGAATGAATGTTAGCAGCTATGGATTTAGTGCCCTATAGATGGAAATTGGAAGCTATGGACTTAGTTCCTATCAGATAACATCGGCAACTATGGACTTAGTGTCTGTTAGATAAATCCTGGCAGCGATGGACTTCGTGTCTATTCCTTAGGACAATCCTCAGGAATGAATGAGTGAATGACAGATGATTATTAGGGTAGATCCTTAAGAAATAAATAAGATAATGTGGATGGGTAATTGGGTTAATTGTTTGATGATGAAACATAATAACTTTATTATTGTGGGTTGAAAACCCTATGTACTCACCAGGTTTTCCAACCTGACCCACTCAGTTTATTTGTATCACAGGTGTCGATACGAAGCTACATTACACTGAGAGATTAAAGGAGATGTAAATCACTAGTATAAATGAATGTAAGGTCTGTTTATGCTTATGTTTATGTATTGACGATGATATCCCATAGTTTTTATATAAACAAAATACATTTCTTCGGAACTGCTTTGATAATATATTTATCATGTTTTTTGGGAACAAATTCCGCAATATTATTCTTTAAAATGAATACTCTGATTTTCAAATAAGCATAAATAAAATTTTTAAAATGACCATGAATTTGGGGATGTCACACAGGTTGAAATGAAGTGTCATGAAAGGATGGATAGGCGGGGGCCGGATTTTGTAACAATGGATTATAGGTATCATTTTTTGAAGGAATGAATAAGATGGAGATTTATTCGGAGTCATAGACCTGAATGGAAAAATGGTCTCATCAAAGACCACGTGTCGAGATATGATAATTTTGTTTGTGTCTAAATTGAGACACCGATATCCTTTGTGATTTGATGGATATCCAAGAAATATACACGGAGTTGATCTTGGTGAAAATTTGTGGGTGACATTAATATAAGGATAACAAAGACACCCAAACACTCGTACGTGATCATAAGTAGGTGAATTTTGAAAGTGTTTATAGAACGGGGTGTCATTATCAAGGGTGGTGGAGGGAAGGATGTTGAGAAGGTGAGCCGCCATGTGAAGGGCTTCGGTCCAAAAAAGTAGGAGGAAGACGATCATGGAACAGTAAAGAACGAATGATATTATTGAGAGTGCGAAGCATGCGTTCCGATTTTCTATTTTGGGGTGAAGTATACGGGCATGAGAAACGCATGTGAATACCATGTTTAGCAAATAGTTGACAAAGTTTATGGTTGTCATACTCACCACTATTATCGCACTGAAACGATTTAATGTCCGTTTTAAATTGAGTATCGACAAAAGACTGAAAATGGAAAATTTTATCAAAAACATCAGATTAGGCACAAATGGGATAGACCCATACAAAATGAGAATAATCATCCAAAAATATGACATAATACTTGATTCCACTCAAACTTTAAATTAGTGATGTCCAAACATCAGAATGTATCAAATCAAAAGGAAAATGAGAAACAGAAATAGAAGAACTAAAAGGCAATTTAACATGTTTGCCCATTTGACATGCATGACATAAAGGAGAGTTTGTATTAGAAGAACATGAAATAAAGCGATTGTTGACAAGATGCTTGAAGATATGATGATCGGGATGACCTAGACGTTGATGCCAAATCGAAGGAGCTATGGATATGAAAGCGTGAGTAGTTGGAGACGTAACAGGATATAGATCACCAGTGCTGTCACATCGAATGAGGATTTGCTTGGTGCGAAAATCCTTCATAGAAAAACCAAATGAGTCAAATTCAATGGTACAATTATTTTCACGAACAAACCAACGAACATAAATAAGATTTTTGATAATGGAAGGAGTAATTAACACATTGCGAAGGGTCAAAGTACGGTAGGGATTAGGAAGGGGAAACGTGGTGTGACCCATTTTTAGTGACTGGGATTAAAGATCCATCACCAACTAACACAGATGACGAAAAATTACTATTCTTATCTAAAGTAGCCTTGAGTATAACTGCATTTGAGTGGAGATAGGATGTGGCACCGGTGTCCATGTACTAATCGGCTTGGCCCAGGTCGTTTAGAGTCATCGTGTTGAAAATTTATGGAAGAGTCGTGGGCTCCAGACTAGGCTGCTGAACCTGGAAAGCTTGATGTTGAGTGGTGTCGTGTATGAGGAGAAGTAAAAAATTGATGCTGTTGTTGGGCTATACGTTGTTGTTAGGCCATGGATTGTTGGTTTGGTTGATTTTTGTGTTCAACACCAAACAAAATAGACTGATTTGAAACCCCACCTGGGTTTGGTAACAAGCCCTGCTGAATAGATCCAACGTTGGGTTGGTGGACTTGAAACAAGCCATACGCCCACGATCCCCCTAGTCCTCGTTGTTGACTATTGCCATAAGAATAGTTTCCACCGCCATTATGAAATCGACCGCCATGTCGACCTCCACCTCTACTGCCCCTATTATATCGACCACCCCTCTTATAGCCTCCTCTACCACCATTATTTTGATTATTTTGAGGATATGTTTGAACTTTTAGAGCATTTGGGGAAGAAGAATTGTCGACATGGGTAAGAGTTGCGTCTTTTTGCTCATCCAAGAGCATCTGTTGTTCTTCAGATATCAATATAGATCTTGCATCCCAAAATGACAGGGGCAAGTGACAGTGTCTGATGCTCGTCGCGATATGGCGGTATTTAGGTGCAGCCCGTTTATCATATATGCGACAAGATTCATATCAGAGACTTTGGCGTCCATATGTTCCAGGCGATCGGCTAGAGACTTAATTTTATTGCAGTAATCAGTGATAGAGGAGGTACCTATAGAAATATTTCGAAGTTCTCTGTCTACTTGGATGACATTGGAGGCTTTGTTGTCACGAAAAACTTTCTCGAGGCTTTCCCATACTTTAAACATTGTTGCCTGTCTTTTAAAAATTATGTTGAGAAGAGAAACAGATAGAGTGCCATACAACCATGATTTAACAATCGAGTCCATACGGAGCCATGTATCCTTGGCAGTTGCTGATTCTTTTTCTTTGTCTTTGTCAGAGGTTTGAGAAGAAGACTGAGTAGGAGGCTTGAGATGATCGTCAACACCGTATCCAGTACAATGGATTTCAAACAACTCTTTCCATATATCATAGTTCATTTGATCCAAATCTAAGACAAAAGGGACAACATGTTTTATATTGATTGTTGAAGAAGGTTTGTCTGATATGTTGGTAGACATCGTGAGAAGAAGATTGAAGAGAGGTTTCGAAGAAAGAGTAAATATCAGAATGAAAGAGGATGATCAGAATGATGGGGACGACGACTAGGGTTATCGAGAATGATCCAAGTTTATAGGAATTGCTCTGATACTATGATATCGTATGAATTTTCCCATGAACAATTTCATTAATAACCCACAATATATACAAGTAACATATGAGAAAAGGGCCAAACAACAAAAGGGCCGGGCTATACAAAATAATATAAATACATAGACTAATAATAATACACTAACAGATTTCAATCCCAAAATATCATATGGATTATGACAGTAAGTCAATAATGTAAGTTACAAAAACAATGTTTGAACAAAAGTTTAGTCAATATGACGTCATCAATTTGATTCAATGGTGGAAAACATAATATTGAAATACAATCAAAGACCCTGATTATTCGATTGATGAATTAATGGTTCTCTTTTAAGAATATTTAGAGATGATTGTTAATGATAAATTTGGAAATAATCTTGAAACCAAACAGCCTATAACTTAACGGTATAGAATTGATGAATATAAATTTTTAGTGTTTAAATATTGTTAGAGACAAAAGAATATACACTTAGAAATAAAATTCTTTAGCATAAAAATGTTGTATATATAAAAAAGCAATAAAATTGGTAATTATTTTAGTGTAAACATAGTCTAAAATGTTTAATTTTTTATAGATATAAAAACGGTAAATATTTTAGTGTAAATAACATGAAAAGTCAAAGATAAGTTAATTTAGTTAAAGGAGGGTGAGCCAAATATAGAGAGAAGTCAACTCCCAACCCATATTCCTTCCCACCACAGCTATCACCACTTCTAAATTCGAAATACTCTTCCACTCTCTCGTAACTGGCCTTCTAATGGGGCATCGGAAAACAAAATCCCATACCCTCCCATCCTCCCCCATCCACCACCACTCATCCTCTTCGGATTTTGAATTCACATCCGTCCTCTCCCCTTGCAAATCCACCACCATCAATCTCCGCCCTGCCGACGAGCTCTTCTATAAAGGTAAACTTCTCCCCCTCCACCTCTCCCCTCGCAACTCCATGGTCCGTACCCTACTTCTCACCTCCAACACCATCACCGCTCGCCACTCCTCCGACTATCATTCATCCTTCTCCTACACAACCTCGGATTCCTCCCGCCCCAGCTCCGCCACCGACGATGATGATACCCACTTTCCTCACAAACTGTTTGATCTCAATTCCCATACTCATAGATTCATCTCCGAAAACGAAAAGAAAATAATTGCTAGTAAGCAGTTTTCTTTCAACAGATTCTCTTCCCTGTTTCGCAAAGAAACCAGCAAACCCGCGGCGGGTATCACCACCCAGTCTGATCCGGCCACCTTAACCAGCTCCTCCGTGAAAGAAAAGATACGTAAATACTTGAAGAAAGTGAAGCCGTTGTACGAGAAGCTTTCCCAACTTCAAAGTCAAAAAACAAAGACTGCTCCTTCAATGGCGAAAAGGGAAGACATAGTTTCTCCATCGTTTTCGGGAAATCTGAGGTTTTTCAGAAAGACAAGCTGCGTATCAAGCTGCCCTTCAACAATGCCGTCGTCTCCATATCATTCAGGTGTTCTTTGCCGGAAAAACAACACTAAAGGCGCCGGTGGCTGCAGTAACACTTCGTCATCAACGGAAGAACTGCAGAGCGCGATTCAAGGGGCGATAGCGCATTGCAAGAATTCCATGGTTGAGAACCACAAGTAGAATGTACAAGCCGTGTTACACATTTTACAAGTGCTTAATGATCCCGTCCGTGATTAAGAACCTCCACATTTGGATCTGATCTGATCAGAATTTGGCAGAGACTTCTGATTCGTAGTACCAATTCTGTCTCTCTCTTATTTATTTATTTATTAGTATATAGTTTTTTAGGAAGAGATGGAAGGGCGTGCATGTGACCATATTATGGATCATGCATTTATATTCTTAATTTTAATCGTTTCTTCGTTCATACTTCAGCATTTAGCTTCATTTTTAGTTAAAAGATTATTTTTTCTCTAATTTAAATATTGTGGATTCAGTTATTATTAGTAAACATCATTTGACTTTAACTTATTTTTTATTACAATTGTTTTGTCTTAAACTCCAAAACTTAGTTCGTTTGATTAGTAACATGCGACTTAATAACAAGGGTGGGACGAGCAGATCTTTCACCCTCTTGCCACCTACCTATTGAATCAATATTTATCTTTCACCCTCTTGCCACCTACCTATTGAATCAATATTTATTTTAGTTTTTTATCAATTATATATTTTTTTGTTGGTGATTTAGTGTTATCAACATACTTTTAGTGTAGCTAGTATTGCTAGTGAGATAGGTTGAATTTTATTTGTTTTCTGAGATTGGATGTATGGGGTGCACACTCAGATAGTCTAATGTGAACTCAGCTATACGGGGGCGGGGGGTCCGGGGGCAGTACCCCTGTATACGACATTCCAAGGGGCAGCGCCCTACCCCTGGCGGGGTCTAAGGGTAGTGCCCCTAGCGGGGTCCAAGGGATAGTGACCCGAAACCTAAACGGATTTCTATGTCAGGAAAGAGTTCAGTCGTGCAAATTCCCACCAAAATTAGGTTGTCACATCATGATAATGTCAGATTCGGTTATGTCTAAATAACCATATTTTAACCATCTTTTTTTGGTGCCATAATAGATGTAACCCCCATAAACCAACTTTCAACTGATTTCTATTGATTGAAGTTCCAAAATTCAGTTGGAACATATACAAACGAAAATAGATCATTCAATATTTTTGTCTCCCAAAACAACACATCAAGCAATGTTATTATGTGTTTTACAATTCAAATTAGCCCTATAATTCGAATTGGTTTTTGTTCTTGTATTATCCCACTTTGAATTCGTGTACCCCTGGAAATAGGGACGAATTACAGATTTTGAAAAGTGTTTGCAAACACGATCCTTAAATCTATCCAAGTTATATATATTGCTATTTTGATTCCTTAATTTCTAACATTCGAAATCTTTATTTTCTGCAAAAGGAATAACAATGGTAGAATCAGTCAGGGACTTAAGTTCCAAGTTCAGGAAACTTGATAAGTTTAAGGGAAATGATTTTTATCGCTGGAAAAAGAAGACGCGTTTCCGGGGGATTCTAAAGGCACCATAAATAAAAGGGAAAATGACATATATGCCCTATTATGTTTCTAGAGTTTACCCATTTAGCCACTTAACTTACTTTATGGCTTTTTAAGGGAACGAATTACACTTTGTCAGGTCGATTAAGTCCTTATTTCATTTGTGAAGGGGTCAGCCGGTCATTTTTAGTCCACCTCCCTCTAATAACATCACATAGGATGATAACTGTGTCTTTTGTGTAATGACATGTCATTAATTAGTCGCATCCTTCGTACTGTCGGTATATGCTTTATAAAAGAGCCCTTTTTGACCTCCACTTTTCATCACTTCATCGATAAACCCTTTGTTGTTTTCTTCTCCTGAAACCTCAAACATGGAACTCGTATTCTTATAAGTAGATGTGCACTTGCAAGGAATCTTCGCCAAATACCCCGTACGCTACACCGACGAAATTACTCAAAGATTTTCAGACATCGATTTCGCAGGAATGGACAATGATGGGTGTTATGCGTTCATCGAAACGTTCACTGGGGAAAAGTGTGAAAAGCTCTATTACTGCCAACCTGATATTGATTTTCCGAAAGGTTTGACTTTAATTATCAATGACCCGGATTATTTCGACTTTATAGCAATTGCATATGAATGTGGTGTTATACTCCCTATGTATGTAGACCATTTTGGGAATAGTAACATACAGGAATGGTTGGATGAACACAAAGACAAGGTTATTGGTAACATAGAGGAAGAAGTACTTGATGGTGCACGACTGATTAAGAAAGTTGCAACAGGGCATCGTGATGTGGATGAGGTTGACGATGAGGAAGACTATAACACCCCAAATCAGGTATTACTTTTGGAACCCTTGAAATTATAAATATTGCATAATGGTCCCTTAAGTACACTGGGCGTACTTCAGGAGTATGCTTAGCGTACCATGCATGGATGATCGTGGAGGGCCAGCACGTACGCTGGGCGTACGTGACGAATGTTCAAACCTTAAATTTTGGACTTAAGACCTATATAAGCATCCCTATCTCATTTGAGCCTCACCCTAATTGGCATCCTTCACCCTCAAACGTCCCTCAAAACCCTAAAATCATTACAGTGTGTGTTCTTGAGCTTGTGAGTGTTTAAACACCATCCTTTTGGTGTGTTAGCTACTAGGAAGAGGAGGAAACAAGCTTGAACGTGGAAGAGCTCCTGGATCTTACATTTTGAGCAGCTTAGGAAGCTTGAGCAAGCTTTTACGTTGGGTGTAGATTAGCATACGCAACGCGTACAACTTAGGGACTCAGTACGTTGTGCGTACAAGCGTGGTACGCAAGGCGTACACACCTCAGATGGGCTTGGACTTGTTTTGGGATTGTAAGCCCTTTGGGCCTTAATCAGTCATTTGGGCTTGGTCACGTTTAGAGTTAGTGGGCCAGCTTATCTGTTTTGGGCCATGGTTACTATGGTTGGGCTTTATTGGGCCATGAGGCCCATTAATGATTTTGTACATGGACTTTGGGCCCATTAGCAAAGGAAGACTTTTTAGGCCATTGTGAAAGGACTTGGGGTTTGGGTTCTTCAATTGGATTATGTTCAGCCCTACCTGGGTAATGGTATTATTGTTCAGCACGGGTGTTCATGAACTGTTAGGAGAGCAGCTTTCAGATTCAGTAGATAGAGGTGAGTCTTCTCACCATACCAATGGGTCGAAGGCACCAAGGTCAGTCCATTTTATGATATGTGATACACTAGTTGATGTAGTGTTATGTGACATGTTAGTTGGTTATGTGGTAGGAGGTATGATAGTTGTATATGTGGTATACTTGTATGGAAGACCATGGGAGAGCCCATGACACTTGGATGTAAGACCATGTGGAGAGCCCATAGCTTTCCTATTAAAGACCATGGGGGAGCCCATGGCACCTGGATGTAAGACCATGTGGGGAGCCCATGGCTTTCCTATTAAAGACCATGTGGGAGCCCATGACACTTAGGTGTAAGACCATGTGGGGAGCCCATGACATCCTGGAGTAAGACCCTAGGGGAGCCCACGACATCCTTATATGTTTGTATGTATGGCTTATATGGTTTATGTAGCTTTTATAGCTAACATGGATTATGTGATTATATGGATTGTATGGGGTATGCTCTGGGGAACTCACTAAGCATTAGCTTACACTTTGTTGGTTTGTTTCAGGTACTTCTGAGCCTAAGAGCAAGGGAAAGGCTTGATGGCGCGTCATACACTCTCTCAGGCGTTTTTATGGGACACTCTAATATTTGAAATAAAATTATTGATGTTATGAATTTGAAAACGATTGTTCTTCAGATTTTGTGGTTTATTCAAAATGTTGTGATTATTTAAAAATGAAAAATTTCTTTTGAAAATTGGGTCGTTACAAGTTGGTATTAGAGCCTTGGTTTGAGAGATTCGAGCACACTCTCGGTTGTATCAGGACTCAAACTAAGGAAATGGTAAAATTGTTTTCAAAAATAAAACTTAAAAACTTCTTAAAATGGAAAAGAGGAGAGTGCAATGTGCGTGATCGGCCGAGTCAAGTAAGTACTTCCCCCATTATGTTAGCCATGTTATACTGATATTTGAGTTATGATAATCGTATGAATATTGCTACGTGTATGCTTTCAAAATTGTATACGGTTAGGGTCTTATAGCCTCAGAAAGATTGATTTGGCCTTATTTCTTGTTGTTTTTCTCTGGTTGTGGTCTTAAGGAAGAGTATGTTATTCGAAAGTCTATTTGATCCTGTTCTGTGTATAATTTGCATGCATAAGGCAACCCGTTATGATTGAGTTCTATTTTGATATGGATGGATTAAATCTTAGGATAGCCTAGGATTTGAGCTATGCGGTAGCCTGTGAGATATGACTTGTTCTGGGATGAATTAGAGTTATCAGGGTAGAGCCTTGGGGAAGGTACAGGTAGGTGTGGAAGATAGTATTGGGTCCGTACTACTGAAAGCACATGACTTGTACCCGAACCAATGTTAGATCTGGAAGCTCTAAGGAGAACCGGTGTGGAAGGACCCTCTTTTTGGACATCCTGATAATTATGCAATACAGTATGGTGGTGACACGACATGGATCTGGGGGATCAGGATCAGGATCCGGAGCTGGGTCGGGCGATGGTACCGAGCCCATTGATGAGAGGCTGTGCGAGCTTATTATGGCCGAGGTTACGAAGGCATCCTTGACGCTACCCCAATGATTTTTGGGACGGTCAAGGAAGGGATGATGGAGATTATGGAGGAGAGGCATAGGTCATTCAGAGCTGAGATTGTTGCGGGTCAGGCCGGGGCCTGAACTCCCTCGTTCCGGGAGTTCAAGGCGTGTGGGGCACCAGAGTTCTTCAAGGTCACGGACCCTATAGTTAGCTGACTGTAACACCTATTCCAGGTATTGACTATTTTATATAATGTTTAGGGTTTTGTGCATGGACTCGATGAGTTAGGTGCTCCAACACGTCGAGTAGAGACTGTTAAGGGACGCGGGGTTTGGGTCCTACTCAACGAGTAGGAAGGCCCCGACTCGACGAGTAGGAGCTGTAAAGAGAAACCCTAATTTTTAGGGTTTTAACCCTATTTAAGGAACATAACCCGC